GGCTCATGCCTGTAATCCTAGCTACTCAGGAGGCTGAGATCTGAGGATCACAGTTCAAAGCCAGCCCAGGCAGGGAAGTCCAGGAGACTCTTATCTCCAATTAACTACCAGGACACTGGAAGTGATACTGTGGTTCAAAGTGGTAGAGCACTAGCCTTGAGGAGAAAAGTTCAAGGACAGCACCCAGGCCCTGAGTTCAAGACCCAGGACTTAGCTGGGCGCCAGTGGCTCACACCTGTAATCCTAGCTACTCAGGAGGCTGAGATCTGAGGATTGGGGTTCATAGCCAGCCCAGTCAGGAAAGCCCATGAGACTCTTATCTCCAATAAAGCACTCAGAAAACCAGAAGTGGTATTGTGGCTCAAGTGGTAGAGCACTAGCCTTGAGCTGAAGAGCTGAGGGACAGCGCCCAGGCCCAGAGTTCAAGGCCCAAGACCAGCCCCCCTCAAAAAAAAAGAGAGAGAGAGAAGAAAAGAAATGCTGGGGGTTGAGGCAAGCTCAAGTCTGGGTAGAAGGGGGAGACAATGAGATGACTGGGAGCTATGGAAAGCCCAGAACCAGAGGCCCAGATCACAGGCCTCAGAAGGTGCAAGAGTCTTCCAGATTGTTATCTCCCTTCCTCTTAGCTTCCTCTCACCCTGGTGTCTGGCCACCCCTCCAGGGTTTCCCCAGCAGATCCTGCTAATTGGGTGTAAAGAAGGGCTGTCCCCTCACCTTCCAGCTGCTCCCCTGGCTTTGATTCTCTCCATCTACTGGACTGTGCCCTTTCCCCTCCACTCCACCCTCAGCATCTAGGAGAGGAGGTGCAGCTGTGAGGGCTACAGCTCCTTTCAGGCTCCTGGCATACTAAGCTAGTGAGCCCCCTCTGCGCCTGCCTTCTGTCCATCCCACTGCAGTCCGTGAATGTCTGCCTCTTCCAGGTGCCGCCTCTGATGAACTTGTTCCCATGGGTCCCCATCTTGCATCTACTGAGAGCTCAGGATCGATACCAGTGTGTGTGAGTGAGAGAGAGAGAGAGAGAGAGAGAGAGAGAGAGAGTGTGTGTGTACATACTCTGGCTCCTACATCAGACAGATCTCTGGTGGGTTTGGGGTCATTCTCTTGGCGTCCTGCAGTTCTATCCAGCGTGATGTTTGTAGCTGATTGATTGAAAAGCAGGAGAGTCAGAGGCAGGCAGACTAGATTCACGTGAGCAGTGCTGATGTAGGACAGAAAGTGGAGGACAATTTGGCAAAGGAGGTGAGGGTAATTGAGGAGAAGAGGCAACATTGTGTGTGGAGCACAAAACAAAAGCAATGGTTGAAGGCGCTCAGGACAGATATCTGGGTGAAGGCCTGATAGGGTCACTGAGATGGAGAGGGAGAGGGATCCTGGGGGATTGCACACTTAGACTTTGAGGAGAGTGAAGACTGGGAGCTCAGAAGGAGGCAAGAGTAGGAAATCTGTGTCTACATTCATATATTTGTGAGTGTTAGTGTTTTCTTCTTTGTCTTTTTACATAGAATCTCATTGTATAGCTCACACTGGCCTTGAATTTGAGATTGTTGTTACCTATGCCTTCTGAGTGCTGGAATTTTAGGCGTGCACCACTATCTGGCTACTTCACATTTAGTTATTTATTTATTTTTGCCAATCTTGGGGCTGGGCACTATCCTGAGCATCTTTTGCTCAAGCCTAGCTAGCACAATACCACTTGGGTCATGGCGCCACTTTTGTTTTTTTTTCTGCTTTTGTGGTACTGAGGAATCAAACCCAGGGCTTTATGCATGCTAGGAAAGCACTCTACCTCTAAGCCACAGTCCCAGCCCTACTTTAAATTTTGTTCTTGAATTCAGGAAACGTTCTTCTACTCCCCTCCTCCCCCATCTTCAAAGGTTCCCTTGCAGAACTATAGCATGATATTCTACTAGTGGATTTTTTTTACATTTTATTATTAATTGTGACATTTTATTATTTAAAAATTCAAGAAGAAAAAGGAGAAAGGATTATATAGTAAATTCTGCTCAAATGGTAGAAAAAAATGCTTACCAATCCCAATGCCCTGAATTCAAACTCCAGACCTACCCCTCAAAAGGCAAGAATTGTACAGTGCAACTTACCCCTACCACCTATATTCTACAAGTCATGTATTGTTGTTATTGTTGGGGTTTTGTTGTTGTTGTTGTTTTGTCCTGTCCTGGGGCTTGAACTCAGGGCCTGGGCACTGTCCCTGAGCTTCTTTTGCTCAAGGCTAGCGCTCTACCACTTGAGACACAGCACAACTTCTTGCTTTTGCTGTTTATGTGGTGCTGAGGAATTGAACCCAGGGCTTCATGGATGCTAGGCAAGCGCTCTACCATTAAGCCAATTCCCAACCCAAGTCATGTTTTTTGTATTTACTATATCACATATCTATCTTGATTTTAGTATTTCTCAAGATTGCAAACGTGAGTTCTTGTCACCCTTAGTATGCTGGGTTACTGAATTTAGTATTTAATACTGAGTTCAGTACTCATTTCCTCATTTTTCTCTTTTCTTTTTTGCTTGAAGAAGACAAAATTTACATACAGTGAAATGTACAAATCCAAAGTTAGTACTCAGGGTTTTTTGGGGGGAGGGTGTCAAATCCAGTGCCTCAGACATACTGGCCAAACACTACCACTAACTCATTCACAAATTTCTTTTTTTATTTCTTTTTTTTTTTTTCCGGTCGTGGGGCTTGAACTCTGGACTTGGATGCTGTCCCTCAGCTCTTCAGCTCAAGACGAGCGCTCTACCACTTGAGCTACAGGGCCACTTCTGGCTTTTTCTGTTTATGTGGTGCTGAGGAATCAAACCCAGGGCCTCATGCATGCAAGGAAAGTACCACTGAGCCACCTTCCCAGCCCCAGTCTTTTTAAAATTTTTTAAATTTTATTTATTTATTTATTTATTTTTGTCCATAGTAGGGCTTGAACTCTGGACATGGGCACTGTCCTGAGCTTCTCAGCTCAAGGCTAGCACTCTACCACTTGAACCACAGTGTCACTTCTGGTTTTCTGGTGGTTTATTGGAGATAAGAGTCTCAGGGACTTTCCTGCCCAGGCTGGCTTTGAACCACAATCCTCAGATCTCAGCCTCCTAAGTAGCTAGGATTACAGGTGTGAACTTCCAATACTCAGCCCATCCACACATTTCTAAATCTCTCTATGCGTCAGTTTTTCCTTAGAGTTTTTCTCAAGATTAAAGGAATATATATGAAGTGAGTAAATCTGTGTTTCCTACAAGCTCAGTACTAGTTTATTTGCTATATTATTGCTGTTACTGTTGTTACTACTCAAACTCAGAGAGATCATCAAGAAGAGATCACTGAGTGCCTATGTATAATCCCAGTTACTCTGGAGGCTAAGATCTGAGGACCCTGGTTAAAAGCCAGTCTGGGAATAAAAATCCTAGAGACTCTTATCTCCAGGTAACTGACAATAAGCTGGAAGTGCAGGTGTGGCTCAAGTGGAAGAGTGCCAGCCTTGAGCCAAAAAGCTCAGAGTACAAGGCCCTGAGTTCAAGTCCCAGTATCAGCACACACACAAAAATAAAACGCAGAGAGGTGATCTGGGACCACTTCCTTGTTCTTCCTTGCAGCCACTTTTTCTTTCCTGAAGTTCTGCTCCTCTTGAACTCCTCCCTCCCTCTTCCATTCATTTGGTCCTTGCTGTTTTGTTTTGCTCACTCATTCATTCACTCACGTTTTTCTGCATTTATTCATAGACATTTAGTAAGTTCCTACTAAAATTTAGTAAGCTCCTAATGATGGGGCTTTTCTAGATTGAAGCTTTCTTTTCTTTGTTGGTACTAGGGGATAGTATTTGAACCTGGGGACACAGGTATGTTTTACCACTTGAGTCCTGCTTCTAGACCTTTAGTTTTTGAGGGGGGGGGGTTTCTCCCTAACCTTGCCTAGGCTAATCTTGAACTTGAGATCCCCTTGCCTCTACCTTAAGAGCAGCTGAGATTATAGGTGTGTAGCACAATGGCCATCTTAGACTAAAACTTTTTTGTGGTAGGGACATGCCTTATTGTTTTCACTTCATTTTTTATGCTTTGTAGAAAAGAGAGTAATGCTTTGTTTCCAAGACTTCAGCCCTTGCCCTTGAGGTGTCTGCAGACTTTCTTCTAATAACAGCTCTGGACGAATGCACACTAGCCAGATGCTGGTGGCTCACTCTTGTAATCCTAGCTACTCAGGAGGCTGAGATCTGAGATCAATGGTTCATTCAGCCTAGACAGAAAAGTCCATGAGATTCTTTTCTCCAATTAACGAAGTGGAGCTGTGTCTCAAAGGGGTAGAATGCTAGCCTTGAGCAAAAAAAGCTCAGGAACCAGTGCCAAGACCTGAGTTCAAGCCCTGCAACCAACCCCCCCCCAAAAAAATGCAAGCCACTTTGGACTTCTGTGTTGTCATTACAAGCCTTGTAATGTCTTTTTGCAAGCTGCCTTCTCTCCCTAGGCTTCCTTCCCTCTGACCCATATCTAACCCCTCTTCAGCTCTATTTCAAAGCAACTCCTTCCCCAGTTCAGAGAACCCAGGCATCTAACTGCCCCACCCCAGCTCTGGGTAAACAGGAAGCTGGGTGAGGGGAGCAGGGGTGTGGAAAGTCCCAGCCAGGTGAATGGGTCTATATGGAGGAGGTAGCCCCACCCCTGAGGTATGAAAGCCCCCTGACCTGGACCTGGGTCAGTCTAGATGGGGGCTTCAGAGCTTCAGGGCCGGGGTGAAACTCCCCAGGGGAGAGGCTGCCTCCTGCTGGCTGTGGCAGGAGCCACTTTCCTGGTAACACTGTTGCTGGCAGTGCCTATCACCATCCTGGCTGTTCTGACCTTGGTGCCTCAGGAACAGGAAAGCCGGGTGAGTGGCTGTAGCTGACCCTGGAGGGTTACATCTTAGTGCTTCCTGACCTCTGGCTATGCTTGACCGTTGGTGTTTTGTAGACCAGGAGCTCAGATGGCTGGCTGATCTTGGTGGAAATGCCTTGTCTGCTTCTTTGCTAATTCTCTTTCCATGTTCCTGTGATGCTGTGGTGTCTTGATGTCTCCAGGCTCCCTCCTGGTTTTCTGGCACACTCAGGCCTCTACCTTTTGAACTACAATGTGCACTAGGGAAGTGCAGCAAACCCTAGGCCTGGGGCTTGGGTCCATGGTGGGAGGTGTGGGCTTGGCATCTATCTGCTGGATCTGGTTTTTGTTGTTGTTGTTGTTTTTGCCAGTCCTGGGACTTGAACTCAGGACCTGGGCACTGTCCCTGAGCTTCCTTTTGCTCAAGGGTAGCGTTCTACCACTTGAGCCACAGCACCACTTCCAACTTTTTCTGTGTATGTGGTACTGAGGAATGGAACCCAGGACTTCATGCATGCTAGGCAAGCACTCTATCACTAAGCCCCATTCCCAGCCCCCATTTGCTGTATCTGAACTCTGGGCATTTGACTCCACCCAACCAGGTAATGGAGACCACTGGCTTGAGGGCACAGCGCCAGCAGGGACTGGGTAAGCGCAGACCACCTCCCCTCCTGCTCTCCAGCCTCACAGATTGCCAGCTCTCCCCCTGCATCCTCAGATACCCTCTTCCTCCACGAACGCAGGGTCCCCACCCCTAAGCCCTCCACCCCCCAGTCTTCTCAGTGGGAGCTTGCGTGGGTAACCATTCTGCTCCCAATGGTGGACTGTATTCCAGATCCAGCGTTTCAAGAGGTGTCAGAGAAGGAGCCAGAAACAGATCTCAGCTCCAGGCCTCCGGCTGCCCACCTCATAGGTAAGATTCTAGCAGATCTGAGTAAAAGGTTAACTAGTCCAAGAACACCAGCTCTGCGGTTCCAGCGCTGGGCCTCCCAGCCCTTCACCACCTGTAGCACCCACCCTGACCCTCGCCTGGGCAGGCAACACCTGGCCCTGATCTCCCCGCCGCAGCCCTCCTCGCCCTACATCCCGGTGCCCTCGGCCGCCAGCTCATTCGTTCCCGAGGGGGCACCAGCGCCCCCAGCACGTCTGGGCCGGGTCGGGCACTGAGGGCCGCACCCACCTCCTGCCCACTCTCCGGAAGACCCGGGTCTGGATCACTGATCTCGGGATCGGATTCCCCCAGAACCCACCCGGGCCCCTTCTCTCCGGCAGGGGCTCCGATGAATGGCCAAGGGCTGGGCTGGGAGGCGAAGAAAGAAGAGGCGTTCCTGAGCAGCGGGGCGCAGTTCTCGGGCTCCGGGGGGCTGGCGCTGCCGCTGGACGGCCTGTATTACCTCTACTGTCAGGTGGGCTACCGGGGCCGGGCGCCCCCTGCCGGCGGAGACCCGCGCGGCCGCTCGTTCACGCTGCGCAGCTCTCTGTACCGGATCGGGGGCGCCTACGGGCCGGGCAGCCCCGAGCTGCTGCTGGAGAGCGCGGAGACGGTGGTCCCGGGCCGGGTCGGTGCTGCAGGGAGGGTCGAGTACGCGGCGCCCTTCTGGTTCACGAGCGTGGGGTTCGGCGGCCTGGTGCAGCTCCGGAGCGGCGAGAGGGTCTACGTCAACATCAGTCACCCCCATATGGTGGACTACAGTCGGGGGAAGACGTTCTTCGGGGCTGTGATGGTGGGGTGAGGACGTTCTGCTTTCCCGGAGTGGGGAAAACAAGGACTGAGGGGTGCGAAGGTGTGAATCGGTTCGGTTGTTGGGGACCGAGACTCCTGGGACTCCGTGGCAATGGAGAAAATGTAGGAGATGCGTTCTAGAACTGATTTTTGAGCCTGATGAAAATAAAGGATGTCAAAGCCTTAGTGCTGCCAGGACAGATGCGGAGATGCTAAGCGTATCTTTTTATTGGGGTGGGGAGAGGTTTGCTGGGGATTGGACTCTGTCTCATGCATTCTAGGCAAGCGCATGATCCCTGAAGCTATGCCTCCAGCCCCATTAGCATGTCCAATTGGGGGGGGTGCACAGGAGGGCATCTCTGTATTTTTCCTATTGTATGAAATCACTTATTATATTGCATATGGTCTTCGCCCCACCCACCTGTGAGGCTAAGCCACCACACCTCATTGATGAGTCCAGTGGGAGGGTGGAAGGAGAGTCCTCCTTAGATCCAGAAGCTCTGCCAAGCATCCTGATTCTCAGGGCCAGGTAGTCACTGGACTCTTGCTGTACTCTTTTCTCCTGGGGTGTGCCCCATTGTGAGGGGTCACTATGAGAAAAAGATA